ATATATCGTTCTGGTGTGATGTTCTCTTTTGTATCTTTTGTTTGTCATCCACGCTAAACTGTCACTGCTGTCTCCTTTTGCTTGGTCTCGGCGCAGCAACAGGAACGTCAACACGCCACTCTGGGTTTCTTGAAGGTGCTTAAAGAAACTCGGATTTCTTTAGATCTGGTGAATTTGTCTGCTTTGATCCAATCACGCCCTTGATGCTCAGAAAATATGAATGACAAGAAAGAAAGGCTGCCCATTGTTCGGTCCCAATAAGCCACTTACTGCCAAATCAGCACAAAACAAGTCAGAGATGGTCTAGGCAATCAAATCTATAATGACACGTTTATTTGGCCTTTTCTCGCAGTTAAATCTGATTTGCAGAGCAAGGCAAGGCAAGTTTATTTATATAGCACCTTTCAACACAAGGCAATTCCAAGTGCTTTACAAAAATGAAAGACATTAAGAGCATATAAGAAAGCATAAGAAACATATTATGAAATGATAAAACACTAATTTAAAAGCGAAGATAAAAAGCAAAGATAATAAAAGTTACAGTGCAGTTTAAGATATGAATATATCAATTAAAAGCAGCGGCAAAAAGAAAAGTCTACAGCCTGGATTTAAAAGTAGTCAGAGTTGCAGCGGACCTGCAGGTTTCTGGGAGTTTGTTCCAGATATTTGGAGCATAGTAACTGAACGCTGCTTTACCATGTTTAGTTCTGACTCTGGGGACAGAAAACTGACCAGTCCCTGAAGACCTGAGAGTTCTGAATGGTTCATAATTTAGCAGGAGGTCAGAAATGTATTTTGGCCCGAAACCATTCAATGCTTTATAAACCAGCAGCAGTATTTTGAAATCAATGATTTGACACACAGGAAGCCAGTGTAAAGACTTCAGAACAGGATTGATGTGATCCACTTTCTTAGTTTTAGTGAGGACTCGAGCAGCAGCGTTCTGAATCAGCTGCAGCTTTCTAATAGATTTTTTTGTGAGACCTGCAAAGACACCATTACAGTAGTCCAGTCTACTGAAGATAAAAGCATGAAAAAGTTTTTCCAAATCCTGCTGTGACATTAGTCTTTTAATCCTATATATTTTCTTTAGGTGATAGTAGGCTGATTTAGTAACTGTTTTAATGTGACTGTTGAAACCAATAACTAATTTAACCCGCTGACAAGAGAGCCCACCTCCGAAGACAGACTCGGGGGCAGGTTCTCAGGAATTTCTTGGCTTCTCTCCCCCGAGCCAGAAGAGGAACACTACAGCTTGGAAACACTAACTGTTCCTGAAATTATCAAATCTGTTGGGCATCAGGGACCTGAGGCAATTGTGGCAAGCATGGCATTGTCTGAAGAGCAACAGAGGGCAATTCAGGTGGCTACCACTGGTCAGCGAACCANATATATATATATATGATATATTGTAGATCATTTATATTACCACATAGCTTCGTTATTCGATACACACCTACCACTTTTCCTAGATATAGAGCCACCAAAAGAATGGAACGGGAAAGGATACATCACTCTGTGAATACGTTGCTACAAAAAGTCAAAACAGGTACCCTATATGTTATGGGTGGCGTTGTGTACTTAAATTTAACCCTAGTTATACCGTGTATTTAGGTGTGGCTGAGCTCTACTAGACTAGTCTAAAGGTTTAATATACTCTCCATTAAAATCATTTGTAAATTTAATGTAGGGTCAAAGGTTAAATAGCGATGAAAAATGCATGTCGAGGTAATGTACAAGTCATTATTATTACTACTACTACTATATATATATATATATATATATATATATATATATATATATATATCAGTTTCTTTACAATAATTTTTACATCTATATCATGTGACACCTTTGGATGGTTTTCAACATTCTCCCTCCACCCCTCTGGAGCAAGGAGAAAAACACATCATGGTTGCACAGCTGCCTATAAGGAGCCATCCAGGTTGAGCAAAGCATGCTGGGAGGGGAGAGGGGCCAGCTGAAGCCCCACGGGGCAGGAATGTCGGCTGCCCACTAAACAAATAAACAGCTCAAATATGTACTGCATACACCTGCTAAAACATCACACTGGGCTACACACGGCAGGGAACAAGTATCCATGGTGTAATGAGAAAAATACAGCATCATGACGGAGTCCTATAATATGGTTAGAAAGGCAGACAGTGATACAAATCTGCAAAAAAAAGGCAATGTAGACGGACATTTCCCCCAACATTTGCATTGGAATAATTGACATTGAATTCAAGTTTGAAAAAAGGCATTCAAAAAAAAAAAATAGGAGTAAATGCCATGGAAGATGAAGGCAGTCAATGGTGCACGATTTCAAATACATGGTTGAGCGAGATGAAGGCAGTACTGAGTCCCTCGTCTCCATGAAACACTGAATGTGTAAGAAAAGAAAAAAGCAGCCATGAAACATTCCCAAAACGTCCACTCTGTCAGGGTCTATCTAGCAAATCTGAAGCCTTTATAACAGCATCATCTGCATAGAGTCGGATCTTTGAAATACATTTGAAGGCCGTCCATTCAGAATATGGCGTCCACAGGGGCCAGGGGGAGAGGGAGCAGGGTTTGAATGCCTGATGGGCAGGAGGGAAGTAACGGCTATTTCTAAGAAGCTTAGGCCCCCTTTGGACTGTTGCATTGTTCCCCTAGGATTATAAAGACAGCCGGGACCTCCCACCCCTCCCCCAACTCAACTGTACGTCAGAGGAAACTAGAAGGAGCCAGATACATGCAGGTTTCTGGATTTTAGTGCAAATTCCTCTTCTAAAGTAAAAGACGTATGATCAGTCATGTCTGAGGAACTACAGATCATTCCAAGTTGGGTTTCCAAAAAGGAACTATCCCCCCTGTAACTTTGTATCCGCCCTACTCTCTTTTCTTCAAACCAATCCTTCTCTTTCTAATAGCACTGCATAGTAAGATTCACCCAGAGTACAGCAGCTACTGGACAGGAGCCAAACAGGCACACTGCCAGACTTCTTTATATGATGCAAGATTGCATAAGATGCCCTTTCTGTTCAAATGACAAAATCCTCATCTGCAATGTTTCTGCAGAGTTGTTGGATCAAGTGAAAAACACAAAGGAGGGTTTGATTTATGTAGATGACCGTAAACCCGTCATAAGGTACATGAAGTGTTCGTTAAGATAAAATAAAGCCGCAGTAAAGTAGAGCTTTCGGTTTTTAGTAAAAAATACATTTTAAAAGTGGAAAATGAAACAAAAATCCAGCATCAGCAAAAAGAGCTTTACCGTTTTTTCCTTGAATCACCCTAGTATCATTGGTTAACAATATGTGGTTTATAGTGGCCTTTAATTGAAAACCATTTCCCATACTCCCATGGGTCTGACATGTCTGTAATAACAGTATACGCTGTACGAGATTTAAACCGGCAGAGATAACACAGATTTTGTATTAGAGATGCATAAAAACAAGTTATGACGATGGAAGTATTTGTGCAAACATTTCTTGGGTGTTACAAACTTGTTTAGCTCTTAATAAAATCACGAAGGCTTGGAATTGTAGTAGCCGCTGCTAATAGTAGATGCTAATTTGGGTTAGGATGTGTAAAAGAAACCCCAAGAAGAGGCTTCATTTCCCCAGAAAGAAATCCTGAATGGGAGATTACTTTTAGTTGGGAAGCAGTGAAAGCCAATATAAACCAAGTGCTTGACAGGCGTTGTGATTCACAAGGAAATTGTAGTCAGTTGGTCCCACTGTGTCATCTGTCAGTTTGACTTCAATTTAAAAAGATTGAAGAAATTTAAACTAGTTCCGAGATTCTACGTTACAGTAAAATACTATTTTTTTTAATTAACAGTAACTTTTCAATTTGTTTAACCATCTCACTTTGATTCATCTCAGCCACAAACATTAAACAGACAGCTGTGAACAAGACAACATTCAACCAACCAAACCAGAGACAGCAGTTCCCTCCAGAAATAGACTTGAGAGGACCTGAACAGCTACTTATCCACAGGTTAACCCAGTGGTTCCCAACCTAGGGGAGGCACAGCGCTATTGCAGGGGGGGCACGTGAAGCTTGGGAAGAAGTTATAAACAAACATTGTTAACACAACCGGCAGTTAAAAGAAAAGTGGATGAGCCCACGACAAGTCTTTCAGCTATAATGCCCAAATCAACAAAGTATGATGAGGCATACATCTCCCTTGACATGTAACGTGTTCGGTGCGGAGATCTCTCTTTCTCTCTCGTCTGTGTGTGTGTGTGGGGGGGGGCGCTCGCTCACAGACTCGCTGCAGCACCATGCACACAGAGATCTGCCGGTGGAGAACATAGCGTTCAAAAGTGACAATCTACAAGGCTCGATGTGGTCAATGCTCGTTTGCCATAAGTATTTTCGCGGAAACACGAGCAATCTGTCCACCAGCTGGCCAAAAGGCATCATATTCATACTGAGAAATGCACCGTTTTCAACTTCCTTAACTCGGAATTCTGTTGCCCCAATTACGTGTAAGGTGGGAGAAGTACTCAGATCAAGTACTTAAGTAAAAGTAGTATACTGCACTGCAGGGTAGCTTGTGAATTTACTCCAGGTGTAACTAAAGTCTGATTTAAGAGTTGATTATATTTCACATCATTCATCCACATCTGTAAAGTAACTAAAGGTATTAAATACATGTAGTGGGGCAGAAGTACAAAGAAGCAAAAGTGGAAATACTTAAGTAGGGATGGGTATCATTAAGGTTCAAACGGTACTACTACATTTATCGATACCGCTTATCGGTCCGGTCCTTTAAAGGTTCTCTTATCGCCATGTCCCCCTCGCACACAGACGGGGGAGAGAAATCTCTCGTCTGGATTGGAAAGATCGAAAATACAAAAAATAATCATAGACGCATTTTGTAGTCTTTTTGCACATTAGAAACGGAGTTGGCGACACTAAAACTGCAATATAATGTTTGTGTAGCAATAAAAAATGACATATATTTTTTACATGTCTCCATTACCGATACAAAGACCGATAACGTCGGAGTTTAACGGTACCACGGTGTTTAATAATTCAGCCCCGGGGCCCGTTTAATACCGGGTCTCGGTACCCATCCCTATACTTAAGTACCTCAATATAAGCACAGTACTTGAGTAAATCTACTTACTACCACCACTACAGGTAGGACTATGTTATTTGTGCTCGCAGCCCATAATCCACACTATGCATAAAATGAATCAATGTGAATTCTGTTTCTACTTTGTTTAGTTTTCCCCCTAAAAAAGAACAGAAAGAACCTATAATAAAAATACTGTTAAAGAACCAGATCGATTGTAATTGTTTCAATTAGGCCTCATTATTTCACAGTGGCACAGGGTCATCTGCCATTACAAGCACTTTGGTTCATGTTCAATCCATAATAAAATATAAAATTATAGTTGGACCGTTTTATCTTGTTATTATTAGCAGAGAAAATGTAATGTTTGTACAACTATATACAATTAATTCTACCAATCTCGGTGGGAACCAGATTAGGGGGGGCTCGGAAATATTTCCAATTACACAAGGGGGGCCTGACTGAAAAAGGTTGGGAACCACTGGGTTAAACAATTCCTCTACCAGTGTCCTGAAGTCCTGTATTGGTGAAACTCATGGCAGTGATTCGGAATATTTAAGGCACTGTAGTTTGAATACTTTAAACTTCAGTAAAAAAGAAGAGAAAGAAAGAAGGATATTGGGAGGGAACTGCTTCTCTCAATCAGCTTTTTCCTAAAATGCATTTATGTGCTACAGTGACCTGGCATTATTGTGCGCAAAGTAATGGTTCTTTTAAAACCCTTCTGTATGTGAGGGATGTTTGAACGTCACATACTGTAAGAAACTAGGGTTTCTGAATGTCAGATGTCCTGTACACAGTATCATCTCTTTGTAACACATTTACAAACATACATTCTAATCATCTTATTAATGTATACATGATAACATCTACGATAAACCCAACAACCCGCCATACAGGATTAAAAGCCCTTGATGATATATTGTGTATTCTACTGGAGAGACACGTATAACAGTGATAACTCCTTTTCTATTTTTACATCTCCTGGGCTTCCTGCTGTATCATTTTATGGATATAAACATCACAGAGGAAGTGAGAGGTGTAGCACAGACTGCAGCCAGCACATGGTGCTGCTGATTTGTTTCATAAGCTCGTTCTACGCTGAGCTGAAGGTAAAACCCACATGTGCTGTAACTAATGGACTGTTAATGTAGAATAAATAGGATGTCTGTTAAAGAAAAGTCAGTTAAACAAAGTATTTCCCCCACAGCAACCATCCTTTCTTGCGAATTAGTCCGCACCAAAATCAAAAATGGTTTGTATTAAAAAATAAATCCATTTGCAGTAAAACTGAAGATCCTGTGATGAAACGTCATCAAGCTTAAAAATTGGTGTTTGTGGTGACAGAGTAAAAAAGGAAAGCAGAGTCCGGGCACAGAGTAAAGGTGTGTTTTACTGTGTGTTCTGGCTCCAGCAGCGTCAGTGTTTGTCCTCTTCAGCCGACGGCGCCTCCTGCAGGAAGGGAGAGAAGGAGGAGCGCACGGTGCGGCCGCACTGAGACTGCTGCACGCGGAAGTTGTTCACCATGCCCTTCTGCACTTCCTCATCAGCTGAGGTGAAGAGAAGGCTGCGGAACACCGCCAGCTGAAGGAGGAAGAGACACAGTCAGAAAAACATAATATACACAGGCTCATTTAGCTCATCCTGTTTGTAGAAGGGTGCACATCTTAAGGAACAACATGCTGCCGTGCAGGTTTGTACAGCTCAGTGTTACTCCCTTCATTGTTAGAATAGCTGGGCACACCCCTTGCTGGTGAGGATTGTTGCAATGCTCTACTGAAAAGGACCGCTGATAAGCTTCTTCATTTTTACCTTGAAAATATAACCACTACTGAAAGAAACACTTAAGATCGCCAAAGAGAAACATTAGCATTTAGGTTTCTTGACTCCTGTCAAATGTAAATAATGAATCTCCTTCTAGCTCTGTTTTGTGCCAACTCCTGAGGAAAATATGTATCTAAATGCTGCATTATGTTCACCATGTTTAAAACATAAAGAATGGACATGCAAGAACTAAAGATAATTAGTTTAAATCTCACACACACCTGTTCATGGCTGACTTCGATGTGCTGCTTCATCACCATCCAGGTGACGGACTCAGTGAGAGGGGGGGTGGTCAGAGAGCCGTGGTAGGTCCAGTAGTCGTCAGTGTTGCTGGGTAACAGACAGGCTGGGTCGAACCGGTTAAAATCCACCACACTGTTCTGCAAACACACAGAGACATTGAAGAAATGATTTTAATGTTACGGGCATGAGACACGCAAAATCATAGCAGACACATACTGTGCACACAGAAGGTCTTATATTTAAAAGATAAAACACTATACTATCCATATCTCCTGTTATACTATACTCATTCATGTATCCGTGAAAAACGTCATTATCATTACAGCACAGGCGGTAACCATAGAAGAATGAAGATATTATCTAAGTAATACAATCATCATTATCCAGTATAAATATGTCATATACAACTGTCGCATTTCCTTTTATCGGACAAACAACAGCCTTATCAGACAATATTAGAGATAAGCAGTGTATTAGCAGTGATGTGAAAGAAGGGCAAACATGTACAACCAACAACATATAAACATATATGAAGTACATTTCTGAAAATAATGTATTTTCATTACACACTAGTAACTCCTAGGCTGTTTAAGCATCAAGATCAGTCAATTCTAAACTGGTAGATTAATTAATAACTATTAATAATGTATTAATGTATTTCGCATTATAGTTCCTGGTATTTGAAACACTGACACTGTGCTTGTTCAACGTCACAAGTATTACATCTCAACGGTTATTCAATGACGGATCGAATTGGTCTATTATTGATAGGCAAACAGGAATTAGGTGATAGATTTGTTTAAGTTTGAGATTTTGCTTGTGAATATAGCTTCTGGGTGTCTTTACTGAACCACCAGAGGGCGCAGGTGCTACCAAACCGCATCAGATTTTTTATAGATTTTATATTGGTCAATATATCTATATAAGGCATCAGAATGTTATCTTCAAAAAGCAGGAATGTGGTGTGTGTGCATGTGTGTGTGTGTGTGTGTGTGCATTAACCTTGTGTCTGATAGCAGGCAGGGCGTCTACCAGTTTCTGCAGCCCTTCGTGTCTCTTTCCCACCTACACAAGGATTAGACTCATTAACCTGTCAGTTTAAAGCTGCATATGCAAAACACACCAGGTTATCGAGTGAAACATGTCTGCGTTACCTTCAGAAAGACTCCAATGACAGCCAGCCCGTTTTCCTCCATCACGGCCTCCTCAAACAAACTGTATTTATCAGAGTTCCAGTGCACCAAGTGGAGCTGAAAACACACGCAGGTCACAAATACATCATCAGAAATCAGCAATCTTAAAATAACAAGTAGTAGCACTATAAAAAAAGTGAACATATTAAAGTAGTGAAAGTAGCAGAGAGTAATAACAAAATGTAACTGTAAAAAGTATATACAATGTACAAAAGCAGTGTTGCAGATTACAATTCTCTCTCTGTGTGTGTGTGTGTGTGTGTGTGTGTGTGTGTGTGTGTGTGTGTGTGTGTGTGTGTGTGTGTGTGTGTGTGTATCCCATAGCCTTGATCTTTTAAACCCTAGCCCAATCATTCTGTCCTAACTGAAAGCTAAATAAATGGAGAATAAATTAAACAGAACAGGCAATAACAGCCCAAGCTATATCATTGTTTTAGATAAAGAAACATACTGTATAGCTATTGTTTAATTTCACTTGTGGGGCTTTACATGAAGAAGCTTGACCTTTTCCTGTGACCTTTTTCATTCTAAAACATACCTAAAATACCATATATTTATGACAAATTCAGTGCATGTGTAGAAGAGCAGCAGATCTGTTTGTGCATAATTCAAAACTACCAGTCAAAAGTCGACTATGACTAGGGCTGTGCGATTATGGCAAACATCATAATCACGATTATTTTTGGTCAATAGTTGATATCACGATTATTAAAAACGATTATCCATTTACTTTGAAAACATCAATTTATTGAAAAAAAAAATGTGAACAGTATGTTTTTAACAGTTGATTACCCTGAACTTTAAGTATAATTCAACTGAAAAAACAATAAAAAAAATAATACAAAATAAAAAAACAATTACATTTAAAAAAATAATAAAATAAATAATAGTTTTATTTCTATTACGTTATTTTAGTAATCGTTGCAAGCCAAAATCGAGATTTAAATACTATTAATTGAGCAGCCCTAACTATGGATGAATAAACTAAAAAACAAACATCTAAATAAGTCATTTTCTATAAACCGGGTACGGAAAAATACATAAAAGTAACCCAATTAGATTTACCCACAGCACTAATCATTTGCACAGTGTCTTTGACAGCTTCAATGCTGTCAGACAGGACTGTAACTTGATCCTCTGCACACACACTTACACACACACAAAGACTGCTGAGTGATGACAACTATGACACGGACACATTCCCATTGCTACAACAAGAGCTTTGCCGAGGAACACACGGACAGTCAGTGCAACCTTGTGTTACATAAGTGTCCTAAAGTTAATGGAACAACGTGAAAATAGATATTCAGTGTTCATATGTGGGGTTAGGCAACATAACTGGTTTCATGTCCCTCACACTGAGAGAAAATAAACAGTCTATGTTTGAATTTAGATTTATTGATATAAAGGAAAATGTAGAAATACCGCTGGTAAAAGACATGCCTGAATCACAACTCTCAGTATTTTGCCAGAGATTTCCAGAAGGACACATGAATAGAAAATAAATGAGATTGTAAAGTAAGTCAACACCTATGATGTTTAAACAGCATTTTTCTTTCTTCTTTTAACCCTTAGGAGACGATTTGGGCACTAACTGTTTTTTTCTTCTCTCCATTATTGAAATAGCTGTGTTTTTAAATACCTATCTGACTTGTTCTCCTCTCGATGACCTGGTCACACACACCTGGTATACACGTCACAGCGCATTTGTATGTACGGTACAAATGTTTTATAACTGACATGGTGACATACTATCTGTGCTGCAGTACCTCTTTTCACCCTCTGTCTGAAACCAGAGTCCAGTCTGTTCTGATTGGTTCGCTGGCCGGCTCTGTTGTTATTGGTCAACTGCTTAGAGATGTCCCGCCCCTTAGCCTATCCCGTACAATGTGTTGGAGCGGAAGCAAATAGAATTGCGAGTGTTACGTAGTGATGTCACTATGTTGGATAAGTAAACAATGGAGTCAAATGGAGGAATTTCAGGCAGGGGGGGTGGGGGTGTGGGAGAGAAACTCCCTTTAGAGGGACACACACACAGGGATTTTAGCCTTTGCAGACCATTTACATCAACTCAAACCTAAATAACAGGAAACAGGAAAGGGAAAAAAAAAAAAAAGCCCCTTTAAGTGTCTTGCCAAAGAGGTGGGCATCGAACCAATGACCCTCTAATTGGTCATATTTATATTGCTCAGCAGCAAGCAGTTGAGCTTTTTTTAAGAAACAGCGGGTACAAAAAAGGGTAAAAAGATGCTGCTGAGACTATATATATATATATATATAGCTATTCTAGGCCATTAGCTGTGTCCATGCACAATGGTATCCCTCACTGCTAAAATTAGCTCATCTGTTTCAATATAGCTTAAACTCAACCGTGTTGTTCAGTTAGGAAATGCAGTGACTTTAACACTGAGAGAGTGCAAGAGCTGACGAAGGCAATGAATGGAAAATTCCACTAGCCACTAGGGTCATGTATGTGGTCTTGTGCTGGCAGGCCCATAACTCCAACTGGTCATATGGGCCCACCCATTTTCCGTTAGCGTTATACTTCTGGTGACTGCATTTATGCAACAAAAACCTTATTAGTGGAGTAAATATGTGGAGATTATCCTGGTGAATAAAACCTGAAGGTTTCATAAACGTGTGTTTTCCAGAGACCTTATTTTCTGCGATGTTTCAAAACCCAATGGAAAAATCTCATTGCTTTTTGTTGATGGAGCCTCACGGTCCGGCCCACAAAATACATCATCACTGCACCACAGTTTTATACTGCAAAGTGTTCTTATTATTGTGTACACCTCCTGGACATGCTCACAATATTGCGAGGCAGATAAAATAAATGCCTTAAGGGTATGAAATATGATTATAATAAAAGTGAATAGATATGCTTCGTGGGTTCTATTTATTTTGAATCAAGTTATTCTACAGCAAATATCCTTTTCTTATCGGTAATATTACAGAAGTATGCTGAATCAGACCTCCCTGCAGGAAGGATATATGTTTGGTGCTCACTACCTGCTGTGTGTTAATGTATTGCTGCATGATACAGCACGGTACCTACCTCTGCAGGGAACAGCTTCCTGTCCACGGTGTGCTCCGACCCCCAGGCGTTGCTCTCCCCCCAGTGGAAGTGGAACTGGCACAGCCGGTATTTGTCTTGCAGAGGGCCACCTTTCACCGCTGCACCAGAAAGATATTCGGATCAGAACACACGGATCAGTGCACCATAAAGGCGGGTTTGCCATAATTGTATATAATATTGTTAAAGGCCAATTCAAACCCCCGTAAGGTTTGTGGTTTGACTGCTGCTCGTGGTAAATAGGCATCTACTAATCGGATAGTGAGCCGTTTGATCCTCAGTCAACATTTCAAAGTGTCCCGAAAATGTCTCTTGAAAAAACTGTCAGCTAAAAGACAAGTAGTGTACATTTTAGAAGAAACTTAACATTTGAGAGCAGTTTATTGTGTTGCATTTGTGTTAGCGCACCCCCAACCCCAGCTGTTAACCTAGAAGAAACAATGAACAGCTTTCACAATCCTTTTAAAAGAACATGCTCGTCATCCAAAAGAATCAAATGTCTGTCTAGTATCTGTTTCCTCCTCTAAATGGAGGAAATGATCCCACAGAGCACGCTAAGGAATAGGTTGAATCCAGGACATATTGTATAGCAGAGACAATTATCTCCTATTTGGCAATGACTTTTCATTACCCCTGTACATTCCAGTAATACTACCGACAGATAAGATAAGGAAAGGAAAGATAAGGTGGTATATTAAAGATTGTACTTAAAGTACCCGCTGGCATGCCTTGATCCCTCCATTGTTTCCTTTGTGTTTAATTGGAGATAAAACGCTGTTCTCAACATTGTTAACCTGTTTTGTTCTCTCACTACCACACTAAGCTCTTTATGCACAGACTGAGGGCATGTGACACCTTTAAAAAGCATTTGTGATTAGTTTGTATGCTTTGGAAAGTTATGTAGAGTTTTGAGTGGAGCCCAGTGGTTAACATCACTTTAAAGATAGAATATGGTAGTTGTTGAGATCACGGGAGTCACATGACAGTCACCAGACCGATTCTGCTTTTTATCAACAGCTTTAAGTGTAGCATTGATGACAGGGTTCTCTAACACACAGAAGGCTCTTTAAGGGGTGGATAATCCTTTCTTGTGAATTAAAACATGCATTCCCCATACTGAAATGTCCTTGAATCAGATTTAAAGGGAAGATGATGTAAATGTTAACACATCTTGAGATGTTTTAAGACGATTTAGACCTAGGAGACACAGAAGAGTACTTACTGGACTTGTCTGTGGTGTCATCATATTCCACCAGGAAGGAGTAGCCGTTGTTCCAGATCTGTTGGCAGGTCTGCGGGTCGTAATCAGTGACCAGAGGCTTCAGCTCCGAATCGTAGACGCTCTTCCGGACCACGATGTCGATGGGAGACTGGCGATCGCCTCCTGGTATCGCGAGGGGTTCCTGCCACATGGGATGCACTGGAGGAGAGAAAGGAGAAGAAGGAAGTCAATTAAAGAGAAAAGTCATATTGAATAAACAAACAGCCAGGACTTCTTCTTGTTCGTGTCTGCTGTTCAAGAAGACACACAACAAACTGAAAAAAGCTGACGCCTACTTTTCATGTTGTGCTCTGCTGCTTCCTTCATTCTACAACAGTCCATTTTAAAACAAACTCTTTAATAAATATTATAAAAACGACTCAGTGCTAGACACACAGGCCCGTCTTCTTCCTTGAGCTGTTTAAAGGAACTGAATGAATATGGAAGAAGTGAGTAATAGTACTTCCTTCTAGTCCTCTCAAAAGGAAATTACAAAATAAGAGAGAAGTGGGCTGGCTGTACAGAATCTGACATGCAGAATGTCCTGGCACGCCCCCAGCTCCCCTCCACAGCGGGGGAATCCGACCGGGACCTCTGGCCAGTCAAACTGCCGGCTCGGGTCAATGTCTGTCAACGTCCTGACTCCTAATTACACCAAACTCCGCTCACTTTCCTTTCCTCCCTCCTTCTCATTTCATTATCCTATGAAATCCACCAAAAAAAACATTACGGTAAAAATTGAGTAAAAGGTTGTACATTCTACAAAAAAATCCTTCAGGTGTTGTTGTCAAAGGACACAAAGGCAGCTCAGTCTTTTGTTTTCATGTCCATTCATCCGTCACAGGGCTTAAGGTTTCCACTGAGAGCCGAGCTGAACAAGTCCGACTGGGAGCTGACCTTCGTCTTGATCAGATTTCAGCGGCTCCTCCTGGGAGAGTTGGCTACCGGACTCTGCTATTGCACAGACACAAAATAACTGCTTGCAAAGCCAATTCATGCTCGTTTGCTGGGTGATGAATCAGCCGCAGAGCTGAATCGTGGCGTGTCAGTGTCACGGTGTCACATTTCCTGATAGCGCCACATGATCCCCAGATGTGTGGATAACTAGATCTGAAACACCAGCTGAGTCTACATCAACAGCCACAATAACCAGAAACTACGTTTACTTCCTCCATTAAACATCAGCTCTGCTGGGCCGATGATCAAGATGCTTGTTCACTCAATATAGTCATGAAAAAATCTGTGATGTGATGAAGTGAATAGCTGGATAACAGTGTTTTGGGGGAAATAATCAGATGTTTAAGTGTATTCAGTTCTGCCTTTGTGCTTCTTTTAGTATAATGTTAAAACAAAAAAGTGTTTGTTGAATAAGTCCATATCTTGCAAGGATGACTAAATATTCTTCTTTTTATTATAGTTTTTTGATATCCCCATTAACAACGTTTCTATGCTTTTGTGGTGAAGAAATTATACGGCCATTAGCTGCTTCAAAAATTTAACAACGTTTTTAATGTGAAGCTGCATCAACAAAATGTTGGCTTGAAACATTTGATACCACAATAATTAATGATTCAGAGTTTACAAAGAAGAGACCTAAAAATAAATGTAAATTTAAAAAATGCTTTTCGTCTGATTGGAAGCAGGGAGTGGAATGTGTTGAGCCATTTAGCACAAGGCTTTGGTTTGAATGAGAACACTCACATTACTTGACACCATTTTCCAAAGCCTGAGTTTGAATTTATAATGTTTTTTAGTTTTTACATTCCAGTCAACTGCTGTTAACAATGATCGGTTCAGTATGAACATCAAGCAGGCAAACAAGCAGACATATTTGAACAGTCTTCAATGCAAAACCATGCAACGACAATGTAGGTTTAAGAACAATTCAAAAGGACAATAAGTTTATGTTCATACTTTATAGTCTGGATTCTCCGGTTTCCAACCAATGACAGGCAGGTTAGGCTAACCGGCAACTCTGAAATGCTTGAATGCGTGTGAAAGGTTATAAAAGATTCACTAGGTGCTTTGTAATATTGAACTCAAAATCATATACAAATTAAATATGCTTGCTATATAGCAGACCTTCTTGTTGATTTCAAACATAGCCCACAATGACACAAAACACCAACAAAAAAAAGTGCAAAATAAACGTTTGTGTCCAACAGCCATGAGTGCGTGATGCAAATAGCAACATGCATATTTGATCACCATTTATCTGGTAAATGGTGATAATGTTGTGCCCTGCACCTAAACGTGTTAAAGGGATGGTAACTATAGTTTAAATGATGTTGTATGTATATGCAAAGCCCACGGTATAGAAATGTAATGAAAATCAATGGCTGACTGAGGATAAGAGGTGCTCAGACCTTACACCTGGCATTTTGAAATGCTGACATGCCTCTCTACATCAGGGACGCACAGACTGTTCCTTTCCTGTAAGTCACATGTTGTTACCTGGGAAGTGGGGAAAGCAGAAGGCAAAAGGTAGGCCAAAGGATTTCGAAAAAACTATTTTCTATTGCCCAATTCATAAGCCAACAATCCATAAAGCTTTGGACAGAGAGTGCCCAATACAAAAACCTTGTAAAAGTTAAATATGAACTCTGTTTATGATTACGGTTGAACATTAAAGCTCAGCTGCACTGGCATATTTGTTTCATCTTTTCATTCTTTTTTTGTCACTGGGTGTGGTGAGGAAGTTGTTAGGACTTGTCGGACGAGCTTCGGAGTCTCGTATATTCCATGGGAACAACATTTTCTAAAGGAGAATGACTCATGTCAAATGCATAAAAAACGAAAGACTGGCTCTCCATGTTGAATAAAACATGTTTCATCATGACTTACTGGGCTATAACTGCACAAATAAACATTTCATTTGAACATGTTATGTTACGTGTATCACATGATCTCGGTTCTGTGCACTATAACTAGAGACATGTGGAAAACAAACCTCAATAAGGATTTGTACATTGAAGATGTGACTAAGTCAGTAAAGTCATAAACTAATAAAAGTGTGAGGTAATTTTTTCAGATTGCACACAAAAATAATAATAATTTTAAACAAACTTTCCTGACACCAGTGGTGAAATCTAATAGAGTACATTTACTCATTGTAACTAAGTGCTGAGTATTTTCCTTTTATGCTACCTTGTACTTCTATTCATCTACTACATTTTGGAAGCCAGTATTGTGCTTATTACTCCTCTAAATGTATCCGACAGCTTTTAATTATTTTTACAGATTCAGACTATAAGTGAATACAAAATATTACAATATTGTAAAAAATCATATAAATAAAAGTTTCAACCAGCAGTATTCGAAGTAATTCAAATGAGCTCCAACCTAACCTGCTTAGATATTAAAGACACTAATGTATCAATAATCCAGTAATTTAATATATCTACTTTACTAAAGCAAGTATACTTTTGTACTTATTTCACTTTTTTGGTAAATACAAATAGTTAAAACTGACTACTTTTCCCACTTCTACACACAATACATAATGCAGTGGTTTGACATACTGGCCCCCTATTTAGGTGAAAGGGCTTCAAATGATCCCTATACATAAGGACAACAATTCCTGTTCGGAAACCCTGGAGCCTGGGTCTATCTCACACAAAGCTCAGTCAACACACTGATCCGGAGGTCCAGCCCGGGCTTTCCAATGCTCCTAATGCACGTTTTCAGATGACAACAAAAGTGACCATTATCGGATGTTATGTGAGCAACAATGATAGGGCCCTGTAGGCTTAAGACACACAATTCGACCAAAAACCACACCACTTCCATGCTTATACACAACCTGCCACTGTTTACAGTCATATCCGAGGTTAAAATGCTCCCTTTGAAGGCAGTTTGATAATGAGCTGCTGTGTTTTTACGCTCGTAAAACATACCCCTTGTGCACAACTAACTTATAATAGTACTTACTCTGTGACAGCACATATTTGCTGGAACATGCCGCGAGGTTGCATCTCCGGACGGGCGTTATCCGGTGACGGTTGGCGTGTCTGACGAGCTGTCGGTGAAGCTGGGAGGCGAAAGGTCTTATTACGGATGACAAAGTCACCATATTGATAAAGCTAACGTGAATAGCTTTGCAACAAGCGGATGCAAAACTTGTTTTTTCCGCGCGCTGTTTTATTTGACGTTAGCTGTTAGTACTAAAGTTTGCTCTCGGTAAACAGTCAGTTCACAACAAAACAATCTTCTGCCTGTTCTGCTCGCAGTCTGCCCTCCTACCGTGTGTCCGGGAGGCGGGGGAAGGGGCAGGCTTTTCTTTACACACATTAAAAATGTGACCGCAGAAACCCTGAACCTGTTTATCCTGAAGCTATGGCGTCATTTAATTGGGATAAATAGCGTCAGTGACGGATCAAATCGATAAACGATAAAATTGCCCGGCCGTTAGAAAACTGTTTGCTCCGCAGCGCTGAAGTGAGGGGAGGGGGGCAACAGAGCTGACCAATCAGAGGCCTGCACTGAGGGGCGTAAATGGTGATGATGATGATGATGAAGAAGAAGAAGGACAGATTAAATACAGACAGGTGGGATCTGATTTTATCCAAATTAATTGTACATGGACATATTCGACAATAGTTTTCATCAGCACAATAAACTACTGTTAGTTGTAATTATTAACATGACTTATTATTAACAATATATAGCCTACCGAAGTACATCATAAGGCCTTTTGTTTTTTTATCCATTTTAGCCAAACGTTGTTTTTTTATCTTTTTAATTCCCTTGTTACTTTCCAAAAAATGTTTAATTATTGTTTTTTAACACTGCTTTCCGATTGTGGTGTGCTAATTAAATTGTCAAATTACAGGACCATGCTGCTTTTAATTAAGTACATAATCTGTAAATATGCTACATTACATGTAAGGTAAGGTCCTTCATTCAAAATTGTACTGCAGGTAAGGTACATAAGTATCATTACAATATTACATAGAAATATTGCAAGTAGTTGAAATACATGATGTTAAGGCAGCTGTTAAGTGTAATGGTGTAATACAGACTGGTGGGATAGTTTATTATATTATGTGTAATATTTAATATAATCATAATTAGATTTTCTGATAAAGTAATTATATTTTTACATTTATGTATCGTTAAATGAAGAGCAAGTAAAGTCATGTTTTGAAAAGGTTATTTTGAAAAGAAAAGCCTGAGAATATTTTCTGCGTTGGTCCATGAAACGTATTTATGTTTACCATTTTTAGTTTTGTTTCCATTGTGAATTTCTATTCTGCATTTCAACTAAGTAAACAATTTATCATCAAGCTTGTTTATCGTAGTGTGTATTGTGTGGAGGGATGTAGTGATGCATAAAGGTTACTCTTCTCAAGAATGTGACGCTCTGTACCGAGCTGACCACATGACTGTCAGACTTTAATCCCTGAAACTAACAAATAGATCAGAACAAGAAACAGACTCATGTGATATTAGTGTTTACTTTAGATCTTTCTCTGAACCTTCACATAGTCATGATAAACAAGCGCTTATGGCATAGAAAACAGCTCTAAGGAAAACTTTCCCGCTCCGGTTTATAATATTAGGATGGATATTTAGTATAGTAAAAACATGCCAAATGATTAGGATTTTTTTACTTAAGGGGCTCTATTCTGCTCATGTTCATATCTGTATTCTACTGGGACATGTCTGTCTCCATGCTTTAATGTTCAAAATATCTTTATTATTCTTATACTGCCTGTGCTGTAGCAACCTCTTTTCACCCTCTGTCTGAAACCAGAGCCCAGTCTGCTCCGATTGGTTAGCTGTTGGGATTAGTCATCTGCCAAAATATGTCCCGCCTCTAAGCTCATCACAATGTGTCAGAGCGCTAGCCAATAGAAACAAGAGTGTTACATAGTGATGTCATTATATTATGAAAGTAAAAAAGGAGTCCAATCGAGCAATTCAGACTTTACAGACCATTTACATGCACACTACAGGAACGGGAAAAACACAAAAAAACATAATAGGGCCTTTTAAATTTTAAGTGAGTCAAATAAACAAGACTACATGCTGCATTTTGTTGAGTTTATTGTTGGTCCAGTGGCATTAGCCTTTCAAAAACAAGTCAGATCACAATGAAATATGAAATGATGGACACTGAAACAGGAGATGGACTGGAGAAGACCGCAGGAGCTCAACTGCTGTGCATTGTGCGAGAGGTTCTCATGTTACTTCAGTGAAGGATTCCTCTACAGTATGAAAGCAACCACTGCTTCAGGTCAAACCACTTCTTGCTGGTTCTTTCTTAATGCTTCTTTGCTTAAAAATAACCAATTTATGCTAATAAAAAGTGACTGTAACATGTTAACATTAAACTACTACTAGCCTGTATCATTAGCCTTCAGGATACACCTAAACTATTTTGTCACTTTTATTTGCTTTTCTAAAAGCTGGACGCCTCATTGTTGCATAGTTTTGGAAGGCATGATTACGAAATTGCATCCAAAACACCTTACCTCTAGAAAAGAGGTAGCAGACCAACAACCCCCTGAACATCATGGCCATTTTCCATCTGTATCTCACCTACAGTAGCACAAGCTGCAGAACCCTGGGTCTCACCGTCCCTTTACAACCAATCATCATTACAATCCAAGAAAATGTTTTGGTTTTTTGTTACCTGACCACAAAACACCCTGACTGAAAAATACAGTACGCTTATAAAAAAAGACCACAAAAACATTTTTTTCCTTTCTTTTTTGAGAGAAGCATTTTATAGGGACCAGTGAATAATATGGATAACAAAAGTTTACCGTTTTTTTCAAAACATTTAAAAATGTAAAGTCTATTTACAGCATCATGTCAGAACGGCTGGAGTATGAAAGCACAAACACAGAGTTGGGGGGGGAGGTGTCGAAAGATGAAGCAGGGCAGTAAATTGTTCTTCATAAAAGAGGTGTTTTATTCAAACCTGTCAGTCTCGAGTCAAAACGGTAAGCGTTCAAAGAGTTCTCAGTCCTTCAGACAGGAGGGGTTAGTCCAGAGCGATGATGTCATCATCATCATCATCATCATCATCATCGGTAGGGGCAGCAGCTGCACCCGACTGGTCCATTCGTAAACGTTTACTGGAGGACTCTCCGGTTTCTGCGTCTGAGTGCCTCCTTTTGGTGCCGCTGGATGGTGCTGCTGCTGCCGAGCTGGACGACGCCCCTTCCTCATCAGATTCAACGATCATGATGTCATCATCGTCTGCCGGAGCTGAAAGGTGGAGGACAACAGTGTTTACAGATGGTGAAGAAACAACTACTATTTGTTTCCACCAACACCAGAATGCTCAAAACAAACAACTAATTGCTATAGAGTGGTGCAGTGACGAGTCCTAAAACCCGGAAATGAGTTAGCATTTTACCACTTCCGGTTCTCTCGTCTCAGAGTCAACGGTTTTTGGAAAATAGCTGGAAATAAGGTCTGTGGTTGACACACATTGAAGAGACAGATCATGTTTTGTTCTACGACATTAAATACATCAGCAGTGACCCCACTGGTGACTTTTGAAGAGTTTACGTGTCTGAAAAACGATGGTTGTTAACAAGTGGCTGAATAGGACTACAGAAGTTGCCGAGGACGTGGTACGTCATTACTCCGAACACGTAAACACTCCTCTAAGTTTGTTTTTCCTGTTCTGCATGAAAGCAAGTACCTGCCTCCTGCTAACTGTTAAAACAAACGCTTCAACTTATACCATTTAGAATCTGTATGTTTGAATATCGATCTTAAGTTGGCGTGACGTTGAAGTCGTGCGGCCCTGCTGTACTCGGCTGTAGCTTGTTTATAGCATAACGTTAGCATTTTGCTTCAGGCGATTAGATTTATGATTCGAAAATTATAAAAGTAGGGTAGAAATGTTGATATTATCCGGCTGAACAAAACGTGCATTTATCAAACAGGTTTGTTTTCCAGAGACCTTATTTCGAGCTATTTTCCAAAATCCTGTGGAGAAATCCCATTGCTTTTTGTCGAGGGAAGCCATGCGCAGCTTACATCCGGGTTAATACGTCATCCCTGCACCACTCTATTAATCTTCATAAAAGTTATGTTTTTGTAGATCCACAGCAATTATTTTGTGTTGTTGTAGATCAGCTAAAGACGACTTAAGACTCAAGAAGAGGTCATGCATCACGCCAAGCTTAAATCATCCTATGACAGAGCCTCAGTACAGGCAGTGTCAAACTGCAGTCCTCCATCTGCAAACCTGTACCACCTTCTGGCAAGGAAGGTTATTTTAGCGAGTCTATGAGTCGTTTGGTCTATAAAAACAAAACAAAAAAATAAGCAGATAAGTTTTTCGCAAAACCCAAGATAACATGCTCAAATGGCTATATTTCTGTCAAAGAGATGTAGAAAAAGAAAACATTTAAACTACTGGAATCAGATACTTAAAAAAATAAATACTAAATTGATGTATATTTTCAAGTAAAAAAAAAGGCAGCTCCCCTAATCTGAATGAGACCAGTCTGTGTATGCATTGAGGGTGATGGCACAGAGGAAAAATACATTAACCAAGGCCACCTTGAAACTAGCATAACTTCTTTCTTGAATGCAATGGAAGGTGTTGGCAAACCAAATTGGAGAGAGAGCAAATCCCTAGTGGATTAGTTTGTAACATAAAAGCTTTATTTTACTGTTTACCTTGCCATTGTTACAGTAAAAGAGAAAACAGACGCATAACTTTCTAGAGTTGTCAATTGCTATTACAAAGCACTTGGTTTTTGATAGGACTTTAGATTCACAGATATGATTCTTATATCTGCACATAAAATAAAGGCCAGTACACACACTCACTGAAAAAAAAAAGAAGAAATATAGCTTATACATTTCTGCTCAGTGAATTTAACAAAGACACTTAATACCATATTAAACTAGAAATAAATGAAGTGTTTGTCTCATGCTGACCTTTAGAAGAGGTGGATGGCTGGGCGGAGTCCTTGTTGCCATTAGTGACGCTGTTAACCTCTTCCTTGTTTGGCTGAGGGGGCGGAGCTTTGTCCGGGGCTTCACCTACGACTTCAAACTCCACATCCCGCTCCAGTTCCTCACTGCCAAAGAAGACAGACTTTGTTAGTTGTTCTGTTAAGTCACCATTCAAAACAAATCATGCAAATGTAACACATTTGACTGTTCACAATGCATTTCATTCATCAAAGCACATTCACAGAGGGACATACGTGTGCAGGACATTGACGAGGAGTGTGTAGTCTTGGAGGAAGTCATCGATTTGGAGGCGGCTGCCATTGCGGATCCCGAAATCGGCGAGAAATTTGTGGTTGTTGGCTGTGGAGGACAGACAGGAATGGTGTTACACCCACACCTAAAAACATGTATTTGTAGTTCTTGACATGTAGGCATAATCCATTCTGTCATACAGGAATACCAAATCATTTAAAGGAAATCAAACCCAAATACATTTCCAGTTTTTTTTCATCATCAACTGAATTTGATGTGCGTTCTTGTTACATTTATAAACAATGCCCACTTTAAAAAAAATAAAAGTTGTTATTGTTTCATTACTTTGAACATCATTCTCTCTGATGAGCATCTCACTCATTCTGTCAGTGCCAGGCTACAGGATGAAATCCAGAGCTGCTCTTTTTATATTATACATTTGAAATGACAAACTCTTCTAAAACCGAGCATGTAGACAGTTGTCTAATCACACATCAACAGAGATGCAAACATTTTTTATTTGTTATTTCCTCTTTCCCTCCCCCTTTTTGGCCAGAATGTGTTTTTAGATTATTTATTAACAAACGCAGCCAGACCGCCCTCTGTTGTGGAGATGAAGAATTGCTGCATGTGATGCATTGCGTTTCCCGCTTCCTCCTTACCGTCTGTCTCTCCTTCCTCTGAGGAGATGAGGATGGTCCCTTTCCCATCCTCTATCTGAACATCTGGAGCCACCATGCCGAACCTCTCTTTTAGGATCTGATTAAAGCAAACAAAATCCAGTCAACCACAAGTAGGGCAATAATAAACATTTACAGCATATACATTACACCAGGCCAGGGGGGTTAAACTCAATTTCATCGCGGGCCACATTAGCATTATGGCTGCACTCAAAGGGCTGGTTGTAACTTTAAGACTATAAAAAAATACATAAATACTTAATATATATATAAAATAATGTATTATATTACATTTTTGCCTCTGTATTGGATTATTATCAGATAAGGTAATAACTACATAATTAACTACGTCTGAAAGAAGAAGTCTGGGGCAAATAATTGCAAGTCTCTTCAGTGTTCATGTCACAAAATGATTTTAAAAGAAAAGCCAAATTCTGGAAAAAAAGTCAAATTCTGAGAAAAAAAGTCTCATTTGAGATGCATTTTAGGACATGTAGTTTATTGGCAACGTGCTTCTGTAAATCGGCATGTAACCGTATAATAAACATATTATATTCATTGCAAGCTCTTGTGGGGCCACAGAAAATGAAGTCACGGGCCGGATTTGGCCCCCGGACCTTGAGTTTGACACCCCTGATCTAGGCAATTGTTACAATTCAACAACAATAATTCCTCATTCGATAAAGACAATGTACTGTAGATTATATCCTCAATGATTCTACAAACCGTAAGACTGTTCTCCTGAGCTCACCACTCGCATATGTCTATAATGCACCGTTTATCTATACATTCCAAATATCTACATCTCTATATATTGTCATCAGTATACAATATTTATTCTAATGTACAGCATTTAATTTTACATTCCATTTTATCTAAAGCTATGTTTTATGTACATACAGAAGCTTATTTATTCTTGCAAAATGGTATGACTAGATTTTATTGCACATTTTTTATTTCGATGTGTGTTGGCAGGGCCTGGTACTTTGAGATTTTCATGGCCAACAATTGCATTCAAGCTTTTTTCCTCAAGCAATACAGGCTATGCCCCATATTTGGGTCTTACAAAAAGAAATTGAGAATCATCCAAGAGCAAAGTAAGAACATCATGTGTAGTGTGGGAGCTATGACCTGGAGAAATGTTCAGTTTGAACTGAAGCGGTGGAAAGTTGTAATACTTTTAATAAACAAGAGTTGGCATAATTTAGAACTCAGTTGTGTTCAAGATCTTTGTGTATAAATGACAAAAGCACCCCTTCATGTTGGTGTAAAAAAGGTTCATCGTATTACCCGGTCCTGCAGACAGAGGACGGTGGTTTTGTGGATGTTCAGTTTGACCGTGACTTCGGGTTTGCTGGCGCAGACGTAGCAGTTGGCGCAGGGTGGATCCAGGATACATGGGACCAGCAGCTTCTTCCTGAGGCTGGGACACTTATTCAGGAAGATCTGGACAAGAGGGAAACAAAGACCAATGTGAAAGGTGGAAAAACACAGAGCTAGCAGTAGAGTTTGGAGATTGGAGGAATATATTGCTGGAAGGCTGAGTACGCCAGAGGTTTTTTTTGGCAGTTTGTCATTCTATGTGCTTATTTAATGATCTGCCTACGAAAAAAAGCAAGAACTAAAAGGAAAGTCTTAATTTACGTCTGCTTATGGAAGACTACTCAGCCACAGACTGCTTCAGCAAGGGAACGCATTAGCAGAAAGAGGCCAACAATGGCAGAGACATTGGGGGAAAAAAACATGGATTCATCAATAACATTAACCAGCCAATTCAATTGATTAAGTTTTATTATAAGGTAAGTGTTAATCTATCAATGTATGCAAGGCTGCCAATTGTGTCAAATATAAATAAAGAATATAGCTGTTAACAAAGCACTGCGTGTACAGTTTATTTATCAGTGAACAAAATGCTACTGCTCCTCAAGACTGCCTTCCGAAACTGCTGATTGTTAGCTCTGAAGTTAGCAACAACTCATGCTTACTTAAGGTAGGCTGCACTTTAAGGTGGACCAACCACTGTCTTTTTAGTGACAGGCCGCTCCTTTAGATCTCGCTCAGGTTATCTTTCTTAGTTCTAAACCGTTTAACCATTAGCATAGTGTAGTTAAATAAACATGTTTTAACCACAGGTGACTATCTTAGGCTGTGACATTTGACTGGAATAACCAGCCCTGGTACTCACCGTGCGACAGGACTCCAGTTCACCAGACAGGATCTTCAAGCTCTCCAGCACAATGAGTCCAGCGATGATAGCGTTGGTTGTAGCGATAGCTGGGATGATGTTCCCTGCCATGGCTGAAACAAACAAAGACAAAACTTTGAATTAGGGGCATCTGAATGTGCACTACAACTATAGAATGCAATTGAGATATGTAAAACCAATTAAGAACATTTTCATTATTAAATCAAACGAGGTCATTTCTACATTAATGATTTGATTCCAGATGTGAGACAATAAACGTACACTTCACGTCGAAGCGACTCTTCGTGTTCATGCTGAAGATGTGCATACGAAGGTTGGCTGCTGCGGTAACAAAGTCCATGGCTGGGGCGTCATCCTGAGAGCAAGAGGAGGCAGTGAAAGCTCATGTATCTGTGTGTCACTAACATTTCAGTATGGCTGTGTATTGAGACGTGAAGCTGATATCATATCGACCTATAAAGACGGGTGTTTGTTACTCTATGGTTTCTCAAATAACTTTTCATTAGTCTGTGTTGGTGCGTTACCTTGTCCCACACCAGCTCGGCTCCTTCTCCTTTCTCCTGCAGCATTGTGCGGAGGGTCTCCACGCTGTGCTGGAACATCTTACAAAGACTCCAAACACTCAGAACCTGCTGGTCCTTCAAACCTGAGCCCACAGACTCCTCCTTAGGACCTGCCGGGACATACCAACAAGTTGGATGAACATAGAAATGTTAACAAATTAACGCCAGTGACAGACCTCTGATGTTGTTGGAGGTGTGCGTGTCAAACACAGAACTAATATTTTCTCTCTAAAATTATTATATTAGCAATTGCAATATCAGTAAAAAATGATTGCAATGACTTCTTTTTGCCAGCCCTATCTGAAAGTACAAACAGAAACACAGAAGTAAACCCCATTTTAAGCATGAAGTAACCAACTTAAAACAGCTGTCTAGTTGTAAAGTTAACATCATTTGTGAAATGCTTCAGAAGATTCACCATCTCCTTTTCTGCAGCATGTGGTACCGTTTTTATAAAAGCTTTTTTCTCTGCACATACATTTAATAACAGATCTGGTTCCATGTTGTTTGTGAGGGAAAACTCTTCTGCTCACCCTAAAGCTAAACTACAGTTTGCATTCCAGATACATGCTCACTGTTTTCCTGACAGACAAGTTGTTGTTTTTCAAGTAGTTAACATGTTTGGCTTTTGTAACGCACAACACTCACACCTATAGCTGCTAAGCCATTCCACGTTTCTTATTTTGATTGTGATTATTTAGGATTTTGGTTTATTGCTTAAAATGCAACAGTTACTGCCATTTTTGGGAGAACAGAGGTTCTCAACAAAGTGGAATGAGCAAGCAGCAAACAAGCCTCTAACTTTAACCATTTAACTAACAGGTAGTTGTCAAGTTGCCTCTGACATTGATATGTAAACAAACGTACCACTGTTCCTCAGCTGGTGCCAGTCCAAAGGTGTCGGGGCTTTCCTCTTCTTCCACAGCTTGTCCATGGTCAGCAGGTACCTGATGTCGTCTTTGAAAAGCTGGGGAGCAAATCAGAACAAAGCTTGTTACTGTATTGGTATTAACCACCTGTTTTGCAGAAATGCTGTATGTAAATATTAACAATAAATCGGCAGGAGACAACTTTTAATCCACTGCTCGAGAATCTTACTAAGTTTACCATCACATGTGGGGCCAAATTAACCCATTTTTGTTCATTTGTAAACAGGGTTCTTGCACCTTTTCCAAAGTCAAATTCAAGCACTTTTCAAGCATTTTCAAGGTGCATTTTCAAGCATCTTACAGCTGTTGTAAATTACATATTTAATGGTCTGGTGGCGTCTTGTGGAGGAAGAGCGAGAAAGAGACGGCTTGTAGGTGGACTGTTGTGAGCACGAGCCCCGAATGAGGCTGTCGGGCGTGGGGGGGGGTTAAATTGGGGACCCGGAGGAGCGACGGCGCTCGGAGATAGTGGAGCCGTGAGAGTGGTTGGGGCGACTTGCGAGTGGTTTCAACAATTCGAGTAGCAGAGATCAGGTTTCAACGAGTTCTACAAAGGCGAAATTAATACGCCAGTTATGCAAAGGGATTTAGGCCTAAGCTCGCTCAAAATTGGCGTTACCTTTCTCGTGGTCTTGCAGATGTTCTTTCGGGTCTTTGCGTCGATGACGAATTTGGACTGGGAAGGTGTCGTCTCCAGGCTTCAAGTACACTCTCCGCGGGAAGTCGATGAGGGACGAGCGGGTGAGACGGGCACACGGATTAGAGGATGTTAGGTATATTCAGTTGTACGAGCGGGTGCGCATGTGTCACAGGAGGCGGTTTACATGTGGGCCGAAGCTTGAGTTTCGGAGCGTGCCTGCCAGACGTCTAGTTGGTGTTCTCTTCTTTACCTGTCTGTTTTGTTTTTATTGTTCTGTTAGCCATGTCTGCGTCCGTCAGTTCGTGTCTTATTTTGTAGTGTGTGTTTGTGTTGTGTGTGTTGGGGTGGACATGTGCAAGTGATGCTCGTGTTTTTTATGGAGAGTCGTAACAAGCCTTCTCGTAGACGCGACTGCTTCTTGGTGTACTTCCATGTTCGCTATCAGTGGGGTCGTAGTATACCTTAATCAGATATGCTGGAGCGTAAGATGGTCGAATTTCAAATTTTCGATTTGAGTCGGTATTGACGTGATTGCTTGAGCTAGCTCTCGATTTTCATTGGATAGTAAAGTCTGCCTCGCGAGTTGGATACAATGGGTGAACCAGCGCAAAGTCCAGCGGTAGGGACACCACAAGTCCTCTACTTCGTGAGTGACACATTAAGTTGCGGTCGTGAGCTGATCGTAAAGCATCAATGTTATCTGTGCTTTATATTAGATAACTACACTGGTGTCTCCGCTAAACTTTTCATTACATACAAGCTGCCATCATTTTCTTATTTAACAATAAGCACGATTTTCTTTTACACTGACGAGATACTTTGTCCAGTGTAACTGGGCTTCTGTGTAAGAAGGCAAACATAACTGACTAACCCCTTCGAGCGCTCATACACAAACAACCCATAACCACAAAGACACATGGCCCCTTTGTGAATGAGTGTTCTCTTGTGGCCACAACAATACGAAGATCGTAACATGTACATTTCTTTTGGATTTTCGAAATGCTCTCGTCTTCCAGTCCTTTTGAGTCTAGTAACACTGCGTTTCTAACTGTAGTCCCGTGTCCAGTCTTGAATCCGCCGATGTTATCTTCCAGGTCCTACTTGTACGTGTAATAGTAGTCATCATTATGTTAGTCTCGGACTGCCGGTTCTCAATCGTCACTTCAGTGTCATACGGATCAAACAAAACACGCGTGTACTGTCACCTTACGTTACAATTAGTAGACACATCTCTGGAAATATTAGTGTGACTATCATCACCCGCCAAGCGTAAACAATACGCGTCCTCCCCCCCAATACCTGGCCGCCGCTTATTGCGTTCGCTTTTTCGTCATGTCGAAACCCTAATCGGTAACAATCAGGTCACTTCCATCCTTCGTCGTGAGGTGGGTCTCCTAGTTGCAGGAACCAACAAATATCGTATTTCTTGTAGACTAAAGTTACACTCCATGCCCTTTATTAAGTAACTCCTGGAATGAC